CCGAGGTTCAGCAAGGAGGAAGGGGAAGTGATTGCTATACAGAGGCTGGGATCGCTGCTGGCATGCTCTTCTGAAGTGTTATGTCCGCAGATGGGGCTTCGGGATGCGGCACAAAATAGAAGCGGTTGAGAGATATACGCCGCGTGCTAAACCAAGCTTCGACAGTACTGAGTACGGCCCTCGATAGAGTACAAGCCGCACACACATGACGAGTATCCCACCTCTGTCACATGTATGTCATACTCGTGACTGATGCAACATGCAGTCCCTTCTGATTACAGGTTCTATGGCAAGATGTGCGGGACCATTGCGGGCGATAGGACTGAGATAGACAAGAAGCCAAAGGCATCTGAGCTTGAGTGTAGTTATGTAAGAGAAATAGTTGGCAGAACTGACAGACCGTGTTATCTCATTTCCATCATGATTTTTTCACCAAAGCATGAGTCCTTTGGGATGAATAGCAGGTGGTCACACCACGATTTACATAAGTTTTTGGAGCAGCAATCTATCATGGAGCAGCAGGGGATTGGTATTCGAAACTAGAAAACAGTTGCGCATCAGAATATTTGAGCATGCGGAGCCACCACTTACAACATGTAAATTTGCATCACGTATCCTGCAGAATATGATGTGGTATGCTACGACCTGCTACCAGCCGCAGATCCCAAATACCGGCAGGCCATGTGTAGCATCGAACGGATATAGAACAAGGATGGAGACCAGTGTGATCCGAGGGAGTATGGGATTATATGATGAACACGCCTGAGTCGACGCGTCTTAGGACAACTGAGGTTATCGTTGAAGAGTTAAGGTGACCTAGCCGAGAGGGACGGCCAGTTTGTCGTTGGCAATAGCTATGAGCAAGCTGTGTGCATGTTACACGGCGCAACTGGTGGTAAGAGTGAGAAGCGTGCGAGCGTCGGGACTTGTGCTTCGGCCCGTCCCTCCGCAAGTTATCTGATCACCGATCGGCGACGATCACGATCATGTACCAGATTCACCTCCAAACCTGGACTGGCACATAGGCCTACGAAGGCGCGCGAAGAGCTTGAGGCCAGGCCGCCAGTTTGAGACCCAGGTCTGCAGACTGCGGCATGCACATTTTTTCTGCATCGCGCTGCTTGCCCTATCCGCATCTTCAGGTCAATACTGGATGAAATGTGTCATATCCCAGTAATTCGAGGCTTAGGAAAGAGTGGCAGGAAACAAATGACACCGAGAGCAAGGAGACGAGAAGGATTGACTAACAAACTAAGGCAGGGGAAAGAAGGGAGAATAAAACAGTAAAAAGTGTTTCATATGGGCTATTGAACCGATATTAAAAGATACGAGTAAAGCATATTGAGGTAACGGGCGTAAGAAAACAAGTAATTCGAAGGGTACGGAGAATGAAAAGGTGGGGAAGGGCGAGGGAGAGATTAGGAGAGATTACAAGACACATAATGATCGGTGGTTGCGGACGTGTACTTCTTACAGGTCCATTGAAATAGAAAAGAAATAGAGAAATGGAATAAAGAATATATACGAAAGAAGAAAAGAGGTATAAGAAGCACCTTCGTTAGAGCCTACCGCAAGTCACGTACTGAAATGCAGCGGGCATAGAGATCGGTGACCGCGATGTCGAATCAGGATGACAGCATGTGTAACTTCGCTGTTGAAAGCTCTCTCAAACGTAGCCGAAAAAAGGGGCTGAAGAGTAGGAGGGCACAGTATACCCGACGGGTTGTGCAACCTTTGCGATGTTCAATCCCTGCTGGAAAAGAGCGGCGATGGCGAGATCCGTGAGCCCCTGCCGATACTGAACTGCAGGCTGATCCGCGATACCAACTTGCAGACTACGTTGAGTATTGAGAGCAGGGCCGAGTGCGGCCGATAAAAAGTGCTGGAATGCAGGATTCTTGCAGAGATCACCTAAGCTAGACCAGATGCCCTGTTGCACATAAGGATACTGGACAGCCGTTGTCTGGGGATACAGCCCCTGCTGAGCGAGAGCGGCGTTAATGACTCCAGTAAGAATGTCTTGCTCAACTCCAACGACGGGAAGGAGCGGTGCAATTGGTCCAGGGAGAGTATAGCCGAGCATAGGCGGAGACGGATACAGGCTGGAGGGAATGACACGGTTGATGGTATGCTGTGAGACCGTTGGAACATTAGCGGCGGGCGCGGGAGCAGTGGTTGTCGATACTTCAAGGGTGGTTGGGGGAGTAGAGCCGAGAATAGGCGCAGAGGGATAAATGCTGGAGGGAGTAACACGGTCGATGCTATGCTGTGCGACCGTTGGAACATTAGCGGCGAGCGCAGGAGCAGTGGTCGTCGATACTTCAAGGGTGGTCGACCCCGTGGAAACAGATTTGATTCCGTGTCGCGGGGCGGCCAGATCCTTAGGGACAGGCGGCGCCAGGGTAACAGGAACAACTTCCAGCGCCTCTATACTGGAAGTGAGTGTCTCGGTCAGCTGATGAGGATTGAGGACGTACCGAGTTCTTCCGCCCGCGTTTGTTGATTCCAATCCGAGAAGAGAGTTCTCAAAGTCGAGGCGTCGTCGATAGCCTCCAAAATGTCAGTTTGCATGTCAGACGGAACTCCAGCGACCTCCAATGCCTTCTCGAGCGTCCATTGCTTGGCCTTGGGGTGGGGTTTCTTGCGGGGGTAGTTTATAACCATGTACGCCTTATCCAAGTCGGATAAAGCAGTTCTAACTCCAATCGCGATCTTCTGGTTGTTGAGGCGGGATGGCATGAAGTACCTACGGAAGGTGTCAGTGTGTACGGTTTAACAAATAACAAGCAACGTGCATCATGATTGAGTTGATATCAAGCTTGCTGTAGTTGGAAAGCGCGGCTTTGTTGTGCAAGTCGAGAATTTGCGACTTAATCAAGGCATTGGACCACTTCATCTTGCCATTGCGGTAGTGTTTATAGACCTCCGTCTCGTTGAGGGTCAGCGTTCCACCCCTCGCGAGGCTCTGGTGCTCGTGAAGCAAGCCAAGAGCATGACCCCATTCATGAAGAATGGTGCCGCGGTCCTCTGTGGAGATATTTGGGGAGTCATCAATCCAGCCAAGGTTCATGGTGATGGCACCGGGGGCGATGTCAAGAGCGTGTTTCCCGATGGAGCTCCAGGACCCCGCATTCTTCTGGAACGCGATGCGCACCATGGCAGTATTGTCCTTGGCATCCTGGCGTTGGAGGGTGAGGTTAGCGTAGTATGTCCACTCGATGGCGACCTTTTCCAAGGCCGTGCGCTGTAACTCAGTGCCGTCGAAAAAAGAGTAGCTGATGGTCTACAAGGTTGGAGGTCAGCGTCACACCAACGGGGTAGTGGCACAGGCGACATACGAAGCCGTTGTCCCAAAGTGCATCTTCTGAAGCGACGACAGCATAAGAGCCGTTCGCCCCGGCAGATAGGTCGATATCACTCAAGGGAGACTCGTCAACTTTAGCTTCGGGAGGAATACCACAAGCGCCTTTGACTTTGCCATCAGAGGTGTCCTCGAAGGTATCTGTGCTTGCTTGCATATCAAGATTGAAGGAGGATGAGCTGTAAAGTGGAAGGTTGGTTGAATTAAGGAATATTGATCAGTTTGCGGACATACTTATATGTTTTTGAATGTAGCTGGAAGGCGACGCACCATCAGCCCGCGGAGTATATGCCTGGCCCTAAAGGGGAGCTCTTTAAACTGTTCAGAAGCTTCAGCGACGTAGGGGACGAGAAACGCGGGCGGAGTGAGGAATAAATGCGGTTCACAGTAACGCCATTGACTATACTTCGGCCCAACACAGTACATCGTAACACCAAGGACACGAAGGCACATAGTATCATGGAGGTCCAGGGCTGAATGGTTTGAAGTATAAATCTATAGAAGACAGTTGCAAGTCCGACCAATGTCGAAAATAGGTGCGGCGTTTATACCAAGAAGGGCTAAAATGTAATCAGTTTTTGGGCGACAGCAGTAACCAACGAAACAGGATTGACATATACTATCGCGGTATTTCAAGAAAGGCCGAGAAGAATTGAGCAGATAGGCTGACCGATGGCAAATGTGACACCAAATCCGACAAAGTCCTAAGTGGTAAGCCCTTCAAATCGTTCGTTAGACCATTCTTCCTGTATCCACGCCAGGGTGACCAAGGGAGGGGCGTTGGTCCCACGTAAGGACTGGAATAGCGTCCTGGCTTTGCTGCAGTGACAGCCATAGTACATCCCGAACAAGCATATCCGTCAGTTTGAATTTGATTTACTTAACGAAGACCTTGCCGCAGCCGACCCTGGAACTCTGAAAAATTTTCAAGGAGGAATATGGCCCTCCTTCACGTCGTGGTATAGTCATCCCATGTATGGCGAAGGGGAAAAGGTACTTATGGTTACTGTACATTGGGTTGCGGAATGGCTGAGGTACGACGGTCGCAGCTGGAGAGACACCGGTTCCACTTGATAGACAGGACTTGTTAAGGACATTAAAGCATTTATCGCGAGGGGACAATAGCGGCTCCGCTTCAGTGTGATGGACGTCACCGAAAACAATGGATCTGTATCTCTTCCCCGGGAAGGTATGAGGCTGGCACACATGCCTGCTGTCTTACCGACCACTGGCTAGGCTCATTAGCTTGTGAAACACTCAACTCGAGGTCTCCAGCGCAAGCCCTCCCATTCTTGATCCCAGAAGTGTACCCAGCGTACGTCCACTAATGGTGGTGCTCACGTCCGAGTGCAGAAGATGCAGGACAATATAGTGCAGTTGGCATGTTGCTGGATGATGACAAGGGGGTGAAAAGCCTGAGACTTGTGTACCGACTCAAGAGATGACTTACTTCGGGAAGCGATTTGTGCAGCGGTCAAACGTAGCCGTCAGTGTCGTACAAGTCGGGCTGGCTGCGGGTCGCGGTCAAGTCAACAGAACCGTCCTTACCTCAATGGCCCGGGATTCATCCAGCTTTAGATCACCGCAGAAAGATGAATGACTACCGGTTTTGAAGTCTTGTGCCTGACTTCTCATCGCCTGTCCCATGGCTTAGTTGGTTACGGCGTCCGACTGTTAACACTCTCCAATCGGAAGATCGAGAGTTCAAGTCTCTCTGGGACAGTTTTTTGTCATATGTTTTTCCTTCGAGGTAACCCGAAGGTGTTATCGAACGCGTCGCCCGTCAATCGATTCTGACGGAAGGATCGTTGAATCATATCTGCGAAATAGCTGCAAAAAAGTGTTTGTTGTGGGACGTCGTTGCACCTCGACAGGTGGTCGCATCCGTGCGTTGCATACGATCGTATGAATCCTCACGAATCGCGGGCAGTGAGACATCGCGTTCATGCTGTACAGTGCTGTACGCCTGACCATCCAACCTGAGCGAACGCTTTACGCTGCAGAGAGCCGGACTGTTGCCTAACGACCACATTTCAGGATTTCAAGACGTTGGTGCAAAGTTTACCTTCACAAGCAGCAAAATGCAAAGTGACTGATTTATTATAGTGCGTTGCAGCGTGTGGTAGAAAGAGCGAAGACTTCTAAAGAACGTGTGGTAGTTAAGAAAGATCAAGTGCACAAATGTTCTGTTGAGATCGTGTGAAGAGGGTGTCGGATCTTTTAGATCGCTGGTGAGTAAACGAGTATTCAGTAGGCATCAACGATTGAGATCAAGTAGTGCTAGTAGGTTAGGAAGTTGAAGAATTTCCTTCAGGGAAATCGGAAGACCACGGCTCTGACTGACCTCAGGCGTTTTACCATCCTGAACATGGAACGCCGGGCTAGGTGAGGTGCGGGTGGGCGGGCCGGTGCCGTACCTCGCCTTGGCAGGAGGTAGCTTGAATGGATGAGCCTCGGTGTTGAACACGTCTATGGTATATGAGCGCCTGAGCAAGGAAATAGTGGGAAAAAAGACATACATTCGTCGAGACTGATGTGTGCCGGGTCGTCAAAGGTCAAGTACCTAGATATCAGGAAGATATGTAAGTAGAGTTTGGACGATGTTGATGTGTGGAGTGACGAACAGGTATTTGAGGACTTCCGCGAACCAGAAACTCTCCATGTTGTCAATCATGTCCGAACTCCTATTATTGACGTCTTCAAGCCCAGCAAAGGCACCACTGGCCCTGAGATATTGATTGAAGCTGTCAACCGCGCTCTTAGCGCGCTTGAGATATTTGATGTCTCCAGTAATGCGCCATGCATAGAAGTTGGACTCAAGGACCTCCGGGCGCAGGATATAGTCTGCGGCCGTGATGTAAAAGCCGTGCTCTGAGTTAAACAGCCTTTGGGTAAGGCCAGGTCCTTCCCCACCGGGGCCAGTGTAACCACCGTCGGCTGAGGTATATGCAAATACTTCCGGACCAATGCCAGTACTGGCAGAAGGTCAACAACGGGTGGGGAGAGAAGCAGGTGAGGCTTACTGAGTACTAGCGTAGGTATTCCAGCAAGCGTCAGCTAAAGCGAGGCCAATGTCGACGATAGTTTGGTTATTCAACAAGCGACCACCTGAGAGGCTCATATAGTTTAGTCGTAGAAATATCATCAATCTAATTGAAGTTTATACCGAACATCCAGTTTCCACCATGGAAACATGCCAAATGGGATCCAACATGTCTGATGCGTTTCGAATCATCGTAGTCTGCTAGATAGGTAAAGATGTCACGCTTGGTCTTCGAGGTCTTAAACATTTAATCAGTGTCCGCATACTATCATATAGAGGACCAATAAAATGTACCCTCAAGAGGTTTTTGATCGAAGAATCGACGGCTAGATTCCACTCGTCCGCGAAGAAGGAATCAGCACTATTGTTCAGGCGGGCATACTTGATGAGGTATTCGAAATAGCTGTCAGAGCCTCCTCCCCATGTCTATTTCTCGCCGTCAGGAAGGACATTTGTACTATAGCACAAGGTTTCCTCACCACGTATCCACCGACAGCTTTACCAGTGGCAGGATCAATACCCTGAGCAGGGAGACCTAATGAGACATAAGCAGCCTATCTTTTCCTTTTGATCAATAACCGACATACCTGGTAGTGGCAAATTCTGTTCCAATATATTAGAAAGCGATTATAGCAGATGAAGCAGCAGATAAATACCTGGTTTGCAATGCGGCGGACAGACTTTTCCGAAAGCTGTCGGTAGGTATCATTACCAGTGTATTTCGACAAGGTAGCCCATTCCATGGTAAGCTGCATTCAGAAGTAGGAAAGTTTAAATTACGGGGGAGTCGGCTCAAAAGATCTGACGTACAGTTCCTGCTTCCGCAATATTCGACTGGAAAAGAGTACCCTCAGGATATCGTGAGGTAAGAGAAGAATCGACGAACCGAAGTCGTTACGGAAGCGGGATCAGGTGCGTTTGTAGCAAAGTTCATGTGCCCATAAGGAACGTCGTTGCCCTACGCGCCTTCATGTTGGTGATCGATAAATCTGAATTTAGAGCTTACTTACGCCGACCCATGCAAAGGCCATCTTATCAGCAACCTCTTTTGCCTTGTTAAGAAGCGCGGGGTATTTCCGATCGCTCAGTTCATAAGCGCTTAACAAGCCACCCAGATAACGGATCGTAGTTTCGAAAACACTACAAGTCGCGACTGATATTAATCGAAGGGGGTAGAAGAAACACCACAGGCACACACCTAACACTAGCGCCATTCTTGGCTGAATTGAAGTCGATCTTGGAGGCGAAGTCAACAGCCTCAGCGAAGTAGTTCTAAGCGTATGGAATCATCAAAAGGTGATCACAGGGTTGGTACCAGAGACGAAACACACATCTAGACCCATTATATGCTGTAGTTGTGATAAGTATTGCTATTTTTTTAAAAGGGATAAAACTGCACACCATCGTAGACATAGCGTCGACAATCGTAGCGCCTGTAGAGTCGAGTCAATGTTTTGCGAAACGTGGTCAAACCCGGCGTGCTTACCCCAACCATTGCGACTATCATCAGATTCTGTTGAACAACCAAACTAAGCCAATGGGAGTAAAATGCGAGTTAATCCACGTACTATTGCTGAGAGGAAGCAGATCATCGTGGCCGAACGCGTGAGTCCTGTCAACAGAACAATGAGAAGGGGTGATATCACAAAATTCCCGAGTAAAAGTGAACCTGTACGCCTCATAGCTAATGGTGAAAATTTCCACGACAGCGTCGCGATTCTGCTGGCTTCCGGAAGGGAGGGAGAGACCGGGCTTTTGAACAAGCCCACCGTAAACGAGTGACGAGGAAAGGAGGGCCCCAAGGGCGATGGACCTGAACGAGACCACCATAGCAAGGAGAGAAAAGGAGGGAAAAAGGGGGAAATGGGGACAGCATGCCAGGCGGCACGTATTTATATATGACGCGCCCAATGTTTGAAATGTCAAGCTTTCGAGGTTCAACCGAGTAATGAGCAGAATAAGCTATTTTTGGTTAGCGTGATCGCTTCTTCAAACGACGTCTCGCTAAAGATTGATGATACGTCATAAGCATGGTTACTTGGCAGCGATCGGTAGCAACAGAATTCCTGGTATTCCACCCTTCCTATACAATAGTACATTAGTACATCCTACTTGTGACTGATAACTTTGAAATCTGGAATAGGATCGAATACAAAGACATCTTCATCACGCGGTTCATCGACACCATGCCTGTGAATACCATCAGCGGTGCGTATGCATGCTTTAGCAAGAATTACTTACTTCGTCTTTAGATGTGACCACAGGCCATTGAACGTGAAGCGCGTCTTCTCCTCCTTGGGTCGCCTTCCTCGTGGCTTGGATTTATCGTCACCCCCTACAACCACTGTCAGCGGCCCTGCCCCGTCGCCCTTGTCCTCGCGTGACTTTAACTCCGCGTTGGAACAATGTCGGCATCCGTAGTTCCACCACTCGCGCATCGCCTTAACTCGAAGTTCGAGGCCAGTGAGAGTCCGGACGAGCGATGGTACAAGAGGATGCACAAAATAGGTCTTGGCCTCTTCCTCAGATACCAACTTGATCTCCATAACTTCGTGACGATGAGAGTGACCGATCTAGCAAATGGTTGAGTATGGGCAACAAAGGAAAATCACACGACCCACGATGGTCTTGGAGTTCAGCAATATCCCCGCTTCACACGATGTGCACAGAATTGTGGTACCAAGAGCATCAATCTTGCCTGTGGCACCATCAAGCGAGGCATCTACCTCACACAAACCGAGAAGCTTGTTCAGCACCGCGATAGCCTGTCACGATCATAAAGGCTTAGCATGATACTTACCACCTAATATCGAGATGAGCTCACCTTATCGTCCTTAACGAACCTCTCCGCCTTCCAAACCTCATCTTGCCTCTTATCCTTCTTGGTGCCTCGACATTGGTGTGCACAAGCGCCGGAAAAGTCCAAGCAGTCATCATCCCGGTACCGAATCGCCACCTTCGAGCACACCTTGCACAGAAAACGAGCTGTGATCCTATCAACGGGATGCAAAACGTTTGTCCTCGCAGTGCTCCAATCCTGGTAGCCAAGGACAGCTCCGAGATCTTTTCTCGCCTGCATTGTCCATCTTTTTAGCTCAACATCAACACGGGCAGCAACCCAGTTCTCCTTTTTCAGCGTGGTAGCGACATCTGAGGGATGGTCGATTGTCTCGGGTGAGTGGCCCTGGAGCATCCGCACGATAGGCAGCCGGCGGAATACTGGCAATGAGGGAAGGATGATAGGAGGCTGTTGGGATCGCAGCCTCTGGTAATGTTGAGCGACATCTCCGCGATTCTTCAGGTAGGCTGCTTCGCGGGTCTTGCGTTCTCGCGTCTCTCTCAGCTTCGCGAGGGCTTTTTCGACTTTTGGAGCTACCAGGTCATAGTCTGAAACGTAGAAGAAAGCCATAAGGTTAGGGGTAAAGTAGCAGGGCGTGGCCACTCACCCTCCTGCGTGACGTTTTCAATCCTCCTGCATTTATGCCGATGGAGAGCACCATATGAGACGGTATTCATCATGTCCCAATAATCCCAGCTATACGTCTCAGCCAGTTCCTTTGCGCTATGGATCAGGTAATCAACAGGAGGAAAGACTGAACGTGTGCGTCCACTTACAAAAGTTCATTTGCTTTCTCGTTGCGTCGGTATGACACCTGCCAAAGTTCCTTCCATGCATACAA